GGTCATTTGTTGAATAATAATTTAAATTAATATTTTTTTCACGTCATTATGCGGCTGCAAGTAGTGGTGACATGGGCCGTGAGATTGAGAAACAGGCATTTGAGCCTCTTAATGTGTGTTTTGTTTGGGTTTCCACTGGCGTGGAATTACCAAAAATAGAGAGGGCATAGTCTAACATATGAAACAGGAAAAGACCGCCGTGTAATCCATTTGCTTCAACAAAGTAACTGTATTCTAAATACCACCTTTTTAAACGGTAACTGTAACAGAATACAGTTACTCATATTTTGTATTTTAAATACGTAAGGGTGGTACATGTATTCCATTACTCCCCAACACTGAATATGAAATGTGGACACGAGAAGCCGACTCACGCTGCACCGCCTCCCTGGGGTCCATCCCATCCACATCAATCAGATACCTGCAGGTGAAACGTGGCAGTTAGATCCCGCCCACACCCTTGAGTCCAGCCAACCAGCAGGCTTAAGTTTGTACATACCTGCAGATCAGGTACCCGGTGCGGTTCAGGCCGTGGGTGCAGTGCACTCCGATCAGCTTATCTGCAGGAGACACAAGTCACAGTTAGAGCTCAGATCGCACTTCTTCTTCTACTGTGGTTTCCTGTTAAAGGACACCATGCCAATCGCACACGATCTCATTCATGCAAAGCCTAAAAGTCATGTGACCACAGCCAGCATGACGGGTTTGATTGAAGCAGGAAACCAGCAGCTCCTCGTCATATGACTGCTTGAAATCTGACCAATCAGCTGTCTGCGAGCCTGAAGTCCCAGCAGACGTCCTCCTCCTCCTCATCGGAAGAGGAGAGCTCCTGTGAGACAGCAGCTGATTAAAATGCTCAGAGCTGATTTTGTTCCCAAAAGTCCCCAAATCTAAAATCTGAGCAGCCTCAAATCTGCAAAACATGGCAGTCATGCAGGAGCAGCAGAGCAGCAGGAGGTGAAGGAGGAGATCAGACTTAAACCTGTGTCAGCGAGGGAGGTTCACATTAGCTCGCTCTCACCGTTCTCCTTATTCTCCCGCAGGAAGCTGTGGACGGCGCGTTTGAAGCTCAGGATGGTGTCATCACTGGGAACCTCGTGACCTCGCGTGAAGATCTTCACACACAGCAGGGACCTGGGAATGTCCTACACACACACGCACACACACACACGCACACACAGAGTTTACTTTATCATCATCAAAAAGCTGTAGTTCCTCTAATGTCCAGATAAGGCTCTGAAAGAGAGTGAACGCCTGGAGAACATCCATCTTTTACATACATTCTGTGGGATAAGCAGTGCGTCTGTGTGTCTGTGGTCAGGTGGAATAATAGCAGCATAATCAATAACACTGATCAGTAAACACAGACTTAATCGATTTGTCTATAAATGCAGGACCTTGTGCTCACCTCGAGCCTGTAGTAACGTGTGGTGAAAGTGAGGTCGATGATCAGCCCAAGCTCCTCCTCCTCGCTGCTGACAGCATCTAGCAGCTCCCAGGGGCCAAACACATCAGAGTGCGGCAGCTGGCGGCTCAGAGACTGCACAGAAGAAGAAGAAGATGATGATGATGGCATGAGTGACGCTGAGCGAGGCCTTTGTGGGGAAGAAGCTCAGATGACACCCTGACCTGCTTCAGAGGAACTTTGAAGGCGATGAATCGAGTCCCGCGGAGGCGTTTACCAACCGGCGAGTAATCGAGCCACCTGCAGGACACGAACAGTCAGTCAGAATTGTCATGGAAACCTGAAGATGCCCGATTCTTATTTCTACTGCCGTTACTCTCACCTGAGAGAGAACTTTCGCAAAAACATCTCAGTTTAAAGACATGGTTATAGATGTTCAAAGACGTTCCCAAAATAACGGTGAACTTCCATGTAGCTTTCATGTAGCTCTTTTAAATAACTCTTTATTTACTTATTTCACACACAGCTGAACTTTTTTTTTAATAATCTTTAGAAATAATCCACACGTGTTTCCTTTGCAGGCGTGGCTGCTTGATGATCAGATTACACATGAACGCTCAGTGTAAAAGCCTTTAAACGTCACATCGGTGACGTCATTATGATCATGCGCTAGATGTTTATTATTTATATTTACCTGCGGGTCATTATTTGTTTACGTGTGTGATGACGTATTCGCGGTTACTCGTAAGACCGTGCGCTGGTCATGAGGTCACACAGCAGCAGACTGGGGGCTCTCAGGTTCATGAAGCTGTTATTAATAACCGTCTTTGTAATAAACCCCGGACTCTTAGTTATACCTGTGCATGCGCGGAGCTGTAGGCTGACACGCACCTGTCAGGTATGCCGTTCTTCTTCGCGGATCTGGACATGTCTCCACTGCTAGACGTTAGAAATAAAAGAGTAAAAGCATAAACCCAGCGGAAGTCCGTCTCTGACCACGTGTCTCTGCCACCGCGACTCGGAGCCGGACCACAGCTCCTCCGCCGCTGTGTCCCTCCGCTCGGGGGTAAAAAGCCGGATTAGGTTATGCTGCGCTCTGGACGCTGTGCGGAAGCGCTGTCACGGAAAGTCGGAGCCGGCGCACACTGATGACATAATGACAGCCGCTCTGCCGCCTGCCTGCCGCCAGACGTCGCACCTGAGAGACTAATCACAGACAGAGGATACGAAAAATAAATGATCCCAGATCAATCCAGGTTATTCCGGATGAAAACAATAAGATTTACTCTTTAAAAAAAAGAAATGTGGAACAGCTGTTTTCAAAGGAATATTTCTAATCCTTGTCCTTTGTTAACAAAGATGGAAAGTGTCACTGTGGTACACACCAGGGGCGATTCTAGGATCAGAGCTTTGGGGGTGCTGAGCACCCAGAGAGCTGCCCATCCAGGCAAGGTAAACTTTACTCATCATGATGAGACTTCTTCCCTGTCTCTGGCTGTATCCCAATTCAGGGTCTGCAGCCTTAAAGTAC